AAAGGTCCCTTTATGTTCTCGGTCATAGATTGAAAGAGAATCACAAAATTTAGAGCTGGAAGGGTCCTTGAAGAACATCTGATAAAACTGACATGTTAAAAAGTGCCAGATCTGGAGTCAGAGGACCTGGATTCAAACACCGGTTGTGTGACCACAGGTGTCACTTCCTTTCTGCTTCATCTACAAAATGGGAGGGTGGGGCTGGACAAATTCTCAAGTCCCTTCTGGCTCTTAGCCAACAGTACTCTGCATATGCATCCATGAAGCTGAGATTCTGATGTCTGGAGTAACTTGCCCAGCCTCACACAGTAGCAGCAGAGCCAGTGTTCTCACCAGAGTCCAGCTTTCTTGCCATCCCCCCATGTAAGCTGCTGCCTTCTAGACCGAGGTGGCTTAGGCAAACCTAGACCACAGAGATGTGCCCCAATTAAGGACAATATTTCTTGGTCTAGATGTGTGCACAACTGTAAACTCCCTCCTCTGACCATTCATTTACATATGAATAATAAAATAATGGTGACATGTTCATGGAAGAAGAAACAGAAACCTTCATGACCAACTAGAGCACAGCCCGAAGCAAAACCGAAGAAAGACCACACCCCCAACCAGGCATTTGTAAAACCCGACTTGAAGTTCACAAAGAAGACACCAAGGTTGTTGTTGAAACAACATTTATTATAGCTCAGTGTCAAAATATTTTTTACAAAAATATGCCACCGTTTGTACCAAACAGCTATAAAAATCAGTTCTACATGCAAGGAAGGTGTGCAAATAACTTACACAGAAGGACTCAGCTCACACAATAGTATTAAGAAGGAGGCATAGTATGTGGTTGGGCTAACCTCACACTTCTATTTATAATTTTCAACTCCTCTAGAAGTTTTTTCATTCTACATTGTCTTTGCATCGGAGAAAAGCTGTCTATGCTAGAATGTGTGCTGCAAGAAACATTACCTTTCAAGGAGGCTGGTTGGCACTCTGGGGGAAAATAATGCTATCTGTCCAAGGATTCCCAAGTTTAGAGGAATGGTTGGAGTCCTCCCTTTAGAAGACTTACATGCCACACAGTAGGAATGGGAACAAAAAGGGCCATGATCTCATCTAAGCCACTCCAGACTTTGTGGTGGGAGACAGAATTCCAAGGAAGTCTAAGGATCAAACGCCCAGAAAAGGCAAAACATCCTTCAATTGGCAGTCTCAGGTGTAAACTGGATTTTGAAAGCTTTCCACAACCATTCTTCACTCCTGGTTTCAAAGTGAGTTAACACTTTCAGGGTACCTAGGCTACTTCCAAGATGGTCACCTTGCTGCCTGAGATGGGAGGACAAGTAAGCTCCTAGAAGTTCATTCTCTGTAATGAAAAAGATTATATGGCTGGTAGCCAAGATCAGGCTTAAAATGAGGGTGAAGTTCCCAGGATCTTAGAGCTGGTAGCTATTTGGAAGGAAAGGAAGGACTGATAAATCGAGCCACAGTTAGTTTGGGAAGAAAAATACACTTGGGAATCATAGCCTTGGGAAGTTGGCCTGCCTCAGAACACAGGCTTTGCAAATTAACTGGAAGAATTAAGGGGAAAATAAGCATTACTTTATATTACAGCAAATTGTGTTGAGGGTATGGGTAGGATGACATATTCAAAACATAAAAGCATCTAGGAGGTTGTAGCTGAAGATCTACTTAGTCTCCTTATTAAGAAAGTGTGACAAATATTGGGAAGTGTCTGTTGCAAGAAATAAGCTGGAAGTTACTAGTTTCTCTTTCCCTTTCCTTTAAAATGCACGTTTAGTTCAGAAAATAAAACATAGGCTGTGGAAAGTTTACCAACGTGTTTCTGATAATTTTTGTTAAAGACAATGGAATTCAGGGGGGCAGCTAGATGGAGCAGTGGATAGAGCACCAGCCCTGAAGTCAGGAGGACCTGAGTTCAAATCCAGCCTCAAACCAATCACTTGACACTTACTAGCTGTGTGACCTTGCATAAGTCACTTAACCCCAATTGCCTAAAAAAAAAAAAGACAATGGAATTCAAAGGTAAGCAAACTCATGCATTCTGAGTATCTGGAGTATCTAAAGACAGACAGTCTCTCAGGGCAACAAGCTAGAGTTGGGGGATTTGTTCCCTGCTGCAGATCCTCCAAAAGAGAAATCAACAGCAGAAGACGGGATACACGGCAATGATGTGATGCATTAAAAAAATATATCACACATAAAAAAGGTCATTTGCACAAAGCAAAGACGTCATCTCCTTAAAGCCTGGCAGAAAAATATAAATTCTGGTACACATTTTATAATAAACATAGTTATACTGAAACCACTAAAAATTATATGTTATTGAACAAAATCTACCTTGAAATGAATGATTTATATCATTGCAAATCGTCATTCCCTCTTTCCTTGACAAATTAAACACTAAGATCACCCATGTTAAAAACAAACAAATACATTTAACACACAGAGAACTTGCAAACTCTCTGTGTGAAATACCCCCAGATCTACAGAGTTGAGAATTGTAATGATGACACAATAATCACTGGGTTACTTCATGAGCACAAGCAAAAACAAACAAACAAACAACAAAACCATCCTTGTTTTAGGATGGTCTTACTCAGTAAACTAAATCTATTGAAAAGATCAGCTTCACATGCCAAGCCACTTCAATAGAAAACAAATCCCCATCATGCAAATGGAATCATATTAACAACCAATGCAAGGAAGCCTGGTGGAGGCTTCTTGTGTTGGGTGAAAGATTACTACCTCGTGCTTCTTGGGTCTCTGCTCAGTTCTTCCTACCATGTAAATAGGGTACAGGGATGTTCTTATGGAATGCCACATCTAACTAAAGCCAGAATGGTGCTGTGAAACCATCCTATAAAAAAGTAAGTCTGGACTCAGTCTAGCTCATTTTAAAATCTCCTCCCATGCTACAGTATATCTCACTGGGCAGATCTCCCAAAGATAAGATGCCAGCATCCTCAAGGGTAGGCATTCATCTATGCAGCAGCCCAGCTAATAGAGAGGGAGCAATAGACCTAGGAGTCCCAGCTCCTCCTCTGGGTAGAGAGGAGGGCTCTGGCCAAATCATTTCATTTCTGAACTGCAGTTTTTCCATCTGCAAAATGAAGACAAGAACTCTTGGAGTACCTTCCTCATAGAGCTGTTTTGAAGAAATGACCTTGTAAACTTATTTGCCACTAACAACTTGCATTTACTTTGTTTTAAGGCTCACAAAGTCCTTTCCTCACAATGCCCTTGTGTGAGGTAGGTATTATTTATTATTGCTTACACCTTTGGATTTGACCACACTGTGTTAGATTTGTTAATAGGCTTATGGTGTCTAGGACATGGCCACATTTTCCCTGATAGTCAGTCTGTGTTGAGTATAGGGCTCTATTAAGTTCAGTTTCCTGCAGGTGTCAGGGTGGGGAAGAGGACTGGAGCTGAGGCAGAGGTGTGTACTGTTCCCTCCTTTACTCCACATTTTGATAGAAAACTTCTAGCTGTTAGGCTGGCAGGTCTCCAGCCTTTTTTTTTTTTTTTTGGCCAAAGCTGCATCAAAGGATGCATTTGTAAAAATGAAAAAAAACATTTTTTTAAATACTGTAAACTCACGGAATCACAGAATATCAGAGCAGGATGGGACACTGGAAGTCTTAGTTTAATGTTTACCTGAAGCATTAATTTCCTATGACATCTCTGATGAGGAGCCATTGGCCTCTGAGTGAATCCCTATAGAGACAGGGGTTCATGACCTCAGGAGGCAGTCTATTCCACTGATTGCCCCAATTGTTAGGAAGTTCTTCCTCAAAGGGAGCTGAAATCCATCTCTGTACTCCTGGAGAATATGGATTGTGTCCAATTTATTTTTTGTGTGGTGCTCAGGCCAGCAGGCATGGGGTACTTAACGCATTTTTGATTAAGCTAAATTTGTGACACTTTGAATTCTTTCACTCATGCTTCTCCTTCCCTGATGTCTGACACCTAGTACAGGATTTTTAAAATGCCCTTTAGTTCCTACTTTCCCCTCACCAACAAACTACCATTCCTTTGCCTGCTCCTTTCCCATTAGAATATTGCCTCGTTTCTTCTCTGTTTTAGCTTTTACAATTCAACCCCTGGCTCCTGCACTTCCCACTCCTGCATGCTTTTTTCTAGGATGACCAAATGAGCCAGAGAATGGGACCCTTAACCAAAATTTGGCAAATATCTCAGATTCAATTCTGAGATTTCTTGGTGAGTTTAAACGTACATCTAACTTTCCAATCACTTTAAAGTCTGCCATATAAGTTTGCCAATACTACCATTCTTGAGGTGAGTCAGTTTTAAAGACAGCATGCACTGGTGAAATGAGCACTGGATTTGGAATTAGAAGACCTGGGTTAAAATCTCAGCTCTGTCACTAACTACCTGGGTGACCTTGGGCAGGCCACTTCTTTTCTCTGGGCCTGTTTCCTCTTCTGTAAAATAAGCAAGTTGAGCTTAATGATCAATAAAGTCCCTCCTTGATCTCAATTCTGTGATTTTATGAGATACATAATTGCTGATAGGAGCAATGCATCAGAGTATTTTTGCTGTTTGCAAATTAACAGGGTACTTGGGGATTTCATCCATTTTATAGATGTGACGGTAAAGACTATACAGACGGGGAAAGAAGTAAAGGAAAGGATATACCCTTAACCTAAAAATACACATCCAATTTGTGAAACACACTGCAACAGACCATCTTCTTCAGGGAAACTGAGAAAGCTAAAGGCAGCATTGAATTATAAGAGTCTAGGTGTGAATATTTCAAATGGTAGATGGAAATACACATGCACCATTTTACAACACAACGGTGCTTGGCTTGTGTATGACTAAGGAGAAAGGGTAAAGAGATTACCCTTTTGCTACACACCTCATTACCATACCTTTCTAGTTATCTTAGACTACAACTAGCATTCTACCTTCAAAGGACAAATTGTCCAGTAACACAAATGCCAAATCCAAACTATTTCTATTCTTCATTTTTTTTTTTTTGCCAAAGCTACACAAGATGGTGTTTGCGTTTGCAAAAATGCAAATGTAATGGCAAATGGCAAAAGTACCGAGTTGCTGTCGAAAAGCAAGATCTCATAAAAAGTAAAAACACACACATACATACACCAAAAAGTCCAAAAATTAACTCATGAAGTCCTGAGATTCCTTATTCTTCACTGTATGCCCACCTATACTTGCCTTTCAAAAATCCCCTTGCGTATATATACCAGTCCCAGAACTGAGAAACATTCAACATGAACTCTGGGTTTGGTATGAGGACGTACAGTATTTTTCTCCACCCTTTCCCAACTTTTTCTAATGACTCCCCTCAATGTCAGTGCCTTCCCTCTGTTATCTCCAACTTATCCAACTAATATATATTGTTTGTACATAGTTGCTTGCCTGTTGTCTTTCACATTAGATCGTGAGCTCCTTGAGAGCAGGGTCTGTCTTTTGCCTTTTTTTTTTTTTTGTAGCCCCAGCACTTAGTATAGTGCCTGGTACCTAGTGGGCACTTAAATGTTTACTGATTGGAGAAGTTATGGACTTCTATCAAATCTGCCTTAGAAATGATTAGGGTTGACAAAAAATTAGTGTTGGACAAATAGAGGAGAAGCTTGATTTAATGACCAATATATTTCCAAGGGCAAGGGAACTGGTAATACATCTGAATCAGCCCACAGATATTTGGGACTTGCTTGGTAAGGCCATAGGAACACATAACCCTTTCAGGATTCAGCTTATCAACTGAACTATGCTGTTTTATGAAGGTACCTGGGATGGAAGAAGTGTAAGAAATACCCTGAAAACAAACAGGAATAAGTTTTTTTCTGGACATAGGTTATTACTGGACCCTCTTAACTTCTTTCAGCCTCAGTTTCTTCATCAGTAGTTCTCCAGTTTTTATAGCTGAGCTGCAGAAGTGGATTTCTGTCCTGCTGTTCTCTCCACAGTGAGTGGCATGGAAAAAAAAAAGCATTTTGAACCTAGTATTTCAGACTTCCCATTTAAGAGGCAACTCCAAAGACTACCCTACTCCTCTGATCAAGTAAGCTCAAAATAAGAAAAACTTTGTGGTCGATATTTTCTCCTTTAAGTCACTTTTACAGTGATTAAAAATAGACATGAAAATTTACAATGTGCACTAGAGAACGTGCTGTGTATGTGTGTGCTGAAAAAAAGCATTTTATAATGTCAGAGGTAGAAAATGGTGTGGTGTATTTCACGTTGCAGGATATGGCCCTTTATACAATATAGGCTTAAGAAATGTTCAGATCTGTCACATGGTTTTTTTCCATTGCTTTAAGACAATGACAGTTAATAACAACAACAACAAAGAACTACAAACCGAACTAGAAAACCAAAACATTGTCTTTTTCATCTGGATATGCTGTTTCTTCCCAAATTTCCATCTTGCAAACAGGTCAAGGTTGTTCTATTGTGAATTCAACTTTGCTGCTTTCCCAATCTTTGGAAATCAAATAGGGGTGTCAGAGTGCGTAAGGCAAATTCAATGTAACTTCTGAAATATAGCATTGGTGCTGCTATAGCCTTGCTGGCTAATCATTTTTTAAAAAAGTTTATTTACAGTCTGACTGTTTTTCCACACTAGTTCTATTAAGAAAGTCCATGTTCCTAAATAGCCAGTCAGCAATTTCATCTTTCTCCTCCAGGGTCCTGTCATTTACTCAACTCAGGAATTTCAAAACAACATGAAAGTGTACACTATTTACAATGGAAGTGTCCATATTGGGTATTCCAAAGCATCCCATGAAAACTGGACGTTCTCAAGGGCTGTCCCATGTGAGGGCTCAGAACTTGAACAAGTTGATAAAGTCCTGGGGCGACAGAGAGACAGAGCAACTCTCTGGATTATTGGCTGTACATGGATGATCGGTTCCCTGCAAAAAGAACATAGAAGTTGAGCTTAGGTTCCCAGAGTTATCTCTTCTGTTCTCAGCACTGCAAAGCACTGGCTAATGTAGGAACGATAACCCTCTCTAGAGAATGCCATGGGAGAGTGCCACATGGGCCTGGAAAAGCAAGGAACCACAAAGGAAACAGCAAGCCCAGTTAATAGAGTGTCAGCCTTATAGAACCAGAAGACCTAGTCTTATCTTGGATAAATCCAAGGTCTGTGGTCATAGGCAATTCACTTAAACTTTCAGTGCCTGAGACAAGTCTCTTACTCTAAGCTAGAGTCTTAGATGCCTGGGGCTATCTAGACACCAACTCTTGTTTTTTCAGGCCCATGTGACAGAGGAATTGTACAACTGCATTGGTGGAGGGAGTTTCCATACCTGGGACCTTTCTATGTTGATGAAACCACAGGTTTAGACCAAAAAAAAAAAAAGAAAAAAGGAAGAAAGGAAGGAGAAAGGAAGGAAAAAATAAGGAACAAAAAGAGAAGGGGAGAAAGAAAAGGAAGGAAGGAAAAGAAAGAAAGGAATAGAGAAAAAGAGAAAGAAAAAAGAAAAGTATATGTGTATATTAGGAAGCATAAATCTCACTCACTCAGGGAAAGAAGGTCTCCTTCATTAACACACAATAGGGAAGGAGCTCTATGGGGCATTCCTAGGGACTTAGGAATTTTTCCTCATAGGGACCAAATGCAGCCAGTCCCAGATTAGTGTGAATAAGAAATCCCTTGAAGGGGCTACATTATTTGAATTCAACTGCTTATTTCCACTGGGTTCAAACCAATGATCAAATTTTACATAATCATAACTTAAAATAGTACAAATTCAAATATATGTGACTGCTTCAGGGAATTCTTTATTTGTCTTAATAAAGCACCCACCTATGATTTCATTCCCTCACCGTTACATTTCAGGCCATTGCAGAAGTAAAAAAGCCTTAGTTTTATATTAAGGATGTGACTGAAAATATTTGCACAGTCTCTATGAGAGGACAGAGTCTTCCTAGGCCTCTGTCAGGGTCATTTTTTCAACTCACCTTCCAAGAAAGGATGTGACAATGTTTGCAGAGCTGCAGTGTGTCTCCATATTGCTCTTTCCTTGGGTAACATCTGATAAGCTTAAAATACATCTTCTTCCAATCCAGTTGTCCTTTATCAGATAAAATTAATCGCTTGCGAATCTAAAATTAAGGTAGTGACAGCAGAGTAAGTACAAGCCTGGGATTATGGTCTGAGGGAATCTGAAAACTCTTTCTCCAACTTTTCTATCGCACCCCCTCCTTGTCACCCAATTCGCCCACAGAAGACAATTCAAAACCAGAAAACTTCCTTCTTCAGGGCTACACCTAGAGGACTACGTTGAGTTTAGCTGACTTAGAGTAAGGAAGGTACTGAAAAGCAAACTCCAGACTGGGCAGGGAAAGCAAGTGGGACAGGGTGGGGGACCAGAAATCATGCTATGTAAGAGTAATAATAATGATATTCGGCATTCCTCTAGTGCTTTGAAGTTTGAAAATGGCTTTACATACTTTGCTGATTTGATCCTTACAACAGTTCCATGAAGTTAGTGCTATAGGTCTTATTACTGCCTTTTTACAGATGAGGAAACTGAGGTTTGGAGAAGTGGCTTGCCCAAGGTCACACATACTTTAAGTATCAGAGGCAGGCCCTAAACCTAATTGGTGATGGTCAGCCTCAAGAAAAATAGCAGCGGTGCTTGCTGGTAGTGGTAGGTGGATGGGGATGAGAACTACATTTGAAGGGTTGTCATTTGGAAGGTGGAGAAAATTTGTTTTCTTTGGTTCCAGAAAGCAGAACTGAGAACAATGGGTAGAAGTACTAGACAGGCAAATTTCAACTCAGTGAAAGGAACAAGTTCTTTAATACATAGAGTTTTCCATACGTGGAATAGGTTGCCTTTGGTGGTAGTGAGCTCTCCATCACTGGAGCTATTCAAGTGAAGGTGTTCCTATGGCTGCTTGGTGACCACTCTTCAAGATGGTGTAGGGGGGACCCTCTGTTCAAGTACAGGTTGGACTAGTTAGCCTTGAAAATCTCTTCCAACTCTGAGATTCTATGATTTTATAATTCTATGATTTGAGAGTCAGAATGGGATGGGGAACCAACTATTATGCGTGTGTACTTAGAGAATAAACTTATGGAATTCTAGAGGGGAGAGATATTAGGAATGGAGAGGTGGAAGTAGGGGCATGAAGATGAAGGAAAAGAAAACTGTTGCTCAGTTACCTGTCTCTCTGTGAAATGATATTGGCAGAGTTTCTTCCATAGCAACCGGTCTTCACTGAGCAGGTGCAGATCTGGGGCCACCTGGCCCAAGCTGACAAGGTCCCTTCCATCCGTCAGCCTTTGCATGATGTTCAGTTGTAAACACAAAGGCAGGTCTGTGAAGGTGAGGCCTTTGAAAGCAGGCTGGAACCAAGGAAGATGCGGTTACATGGAGAAGGAAGGGAAAACCAACCGACCAAGAGGTAAAAGGCATCGCTTGACCACCAACCACCCTCCACTCTCGAGCTGGTTTATTCTACAGAGAGGGAATCAAAAATTCTCTTCATTCTAAACACTTAAGTTGGCTCCCGCTGTGGAGGCCAAGTGAGAAGAGTGCAGACCACCGTGAAATGATTAGCGTCTATGATGTTTCCTCAGTTTGACAAAACTTGCCTTTTATGTTCTTGAAATGTGTTGCATATTTCAGAAAGCACACACTGGGGATAAAGACAGGGTGTCTCAGAACAGCTTAAAAGGGCTACCTTGGTTTGGTGTATTCCATACAATTTTTAGAGTCCCTCCATCCATAATGGTGTCTAGTGCCTAAGAGTGGACAGAACTGAAAAAATCTGTCACGATCTATGTGGTATTGTGGTTAGCCCTTTGGACTTGGGAATCAGGTGACCTGGGTGCAACCCCCTGCCCTACTATTCACAAATTGTGTGACCTTGGGCAAGTGCTGAGATATAGTTTTTTTTCTCATCTGCAAAACAGAAATAAGATGTGTTCTACCTTATCTTACAGGGCTTTTCAAAAGCAATATGTGAATACATAGGAGGCAGTATGGTGTGCTAGATAAAGAACAGGCCTCTGAATCAGGACTACATGGGTTTAAATACACCCCCCCCCACTGCCTCCCACACATCTCGTTGCTGTAGGAACCTGAGTAAATCACTTCATTAATTTCTCAGTACTGTGGGCAATTTTCTGAGAATATAAGGTCAGCAGTGGGGAGAAGGCTGGGGAGGGGAGAGGAGCACTAGGGATCTCCCCCATATCAGTGAAATTACAAGTCTGGATAAAAATGAATGCATGAGTGAATTTCCAGCTAGATTTCTCCCTCTTTCCCTATAGAACTAGGCCAGTTAAGTGGCACAATGGATAGAGTGATAGCCTGGGAATCAGGAAGACTACAGTTCAAATCCTATCTCAAGACACCTGTTGGCTGTGTGACCCTAGGCAAGTCACTTCACTTATTTCAGTTTCTTTATCTCTGAAATGGGGATAATAATATCGTCTATCTCCCAGTACAACAGTACTTACAACAGTAAAGGATCAAATGGGATAAGAAGTTGCAAATCTGAATAAATGCTAGCTTGATGATGGTGGTGATGATGATGGTGGTGGTGGTGGTGATGATATGATGATGTGACTTGCCCAAGGGCACACAGTAATTAACTAGAAGAACAAGGGCTTGAATCAGGTTCTGAGACTTCATACCAGAGCTCCTTCCATGGCACCTCAGTTTCCTAACTCAACTCAAATGCTTTTTCCATTACTTTGAGACCATGTTATCTCTAAGCTTTGGGTCTCCTCGCCCTGCCTGGTGCCCTGCATGCTGAAGGCATTAACCAGTGTTGGTAGATTGACTGACTGGCTGATCTGTTTCCCCTTGGTCTGTGGAAGAGAACTTTTAGCTGTTTACCACAGTGAGGGCTTTGCAGGCCTGCAGAAGGCCCTAAGCCCATTTGTCATTTATTATCTACAATGGATCGAATGAGCTCATAAAACTGCCCAGGGATTTTTTTTTTTCAACTTCCAAGTGAGCTTCAAAGTATCTACTTTTTTTTGGATAAAACCCACCGGCCAATTATGACATTCGCTTCTGGTAGGAGGGGAGCACAGCAGGCAGTCAGAGTGAGTACTCTCAGCTTTTCAAACCTGACCTTTTAACCAGATCTTTGCCTCGACCCCCAGAAGAGCCCTGCCTCCTTATTAACAGTTCACATGCTCATCGTCTTCTGCTGAATATAAACATGAACCAAGGAAACAAGAGCCGTTCTTTTTCTTCTCCAAGCTAGCACCTGGCTAGAAGCCATGCTGGCCCACTCCTTGGATCCCCCCCCCAATGTAATTCTGCCTTTAGCACTTATGTGGAAGTATGGGGCAGAACCCTGCCTTGCTGCACACATCCCAGGTGCCTCTGATTCGTTCTTCCAGAAAACAAGAGCAACAACCCCTCTTGATTGTCCTAGCCTTCTCGTTAGCCTTTCTAAATGTTGCATATCTCAGCTTATAAAAACTGGCTCCATGGGATTCGATTTGAAAGTTTATCTGTACTATACATCACTCACTCTCTCTCTCTCTCTCTCTCTCTCTCTCTCTTCTCTCTCTCTCTCTCTCTCCTGTGTGTGTGTGTGTGTGTGTGTGTGTGTTGGGAAAGAGCTGAGTTCAAAAAGGGATGGGAACCCAAGGATGCTAACAGAACACTGGCCAAGCATTCTTACTTTGCATGGGCACCCATGTGATAAACCTACCTTTCCCAGTCTGCATATATCCCTCTCTCCTTAGCATCCTCTGGAGCTTGGGGGCTGTGGGGATGCAAGCTGGGTGGAGCTGTGATGTTGCTCTCAAAGTAATTTCCTTTAGAGCCACTGAGTGGTAAGGTGAAGTACACAAGAGATTATGGTGAGGGGGAAGGATGCTGGGGTAGGCATGTGGGTTCAGGTCCTAAATCAGAGACACCATGGATATAGTGGAAAGCTCCTAGTATGATGGGACTTGAGGTAAAAAACCGATATGAATTAGAATCCCAACTCTGACATATGAGTTGTATGATACACAGCAAGTCATTCAATTCCTCCGAGTATTATTTTTCTCCGCTGTAAAATGGATATGATTATTTTTCACTCCCTACCTCAGAGAGTTGTTGGAAAGAAGGGGCTTCGAAAGCCTTCAGGTATTTAATAGAATTATGCTATTGTTAGGATCACAGATCCAGAGCTGAAAGGGATCTAGACTAGGCCGTCCAGTCCAACTCTCTTGTTTTCAATAGATGAGGAAACTGAGACCCAGGGAGTTTTAAGGATTTGCCTAAGCTCACACAGGTTATTTGCAGCAGAGCTGAGACTTGAAATGAGGCCCTCTTACTACAAAACCAAGTTCTCTTTCCATGGTTCATTAACCTTTCCTTGGTTATTCTTGATAATGAATTAGGGCTATTATTAATATTAATGATGATTGTAGACATTTAAAGCTAGAAAGGACCTCAAAGGTCATTTAGTAGGTAAAGGGTTGACTACTCTGAGCCTCAGTTTTCTCTTCTGTAAAAGGGAAATAATAATACAAACAACCTCACAGGGTTGTTATAAGGCTCAAAAAAGATCACATATATACAAATTTTTTGTAAACCTTTCCAGGTCATATAATGTCAACAGAGAATTCTAACTTCCTCAAGCATGCACCTAGGCTGTCTTTGAAAGCAACATCACAACTCCACCCAGCTTGCATCCCCATATCCCCCAAGTTCCAGAGGATGCTGAGGTGAGAGAGAAGTACTCCTTACCTCATTCTGAACTGGACTGGGAAAGAAAGCTAGGTTTATTGCATGAGAAGGGAAGAATGGGAAAATCAAAAAGACAATTTACACCAAACTAATAAAAACCCCAAAGATCTTTCCCCTAAAATATCCAGATAATTAAGCCAAATGCTTTAAAAAAAAATTACTCGAATACTCTCCATTCTCCACTTGACTTTGTAGGTGATAGAATTATTCTTTCCCTTTTAGGGATTCAGAAATTAAGCCTCAGACACATTGTGACAAGATAACAAGAACACACACATGGTATTTTGAATTCTCCGCACAGCTACTTCAGTGATTAACTGTTATTTCTATAACAATTATTTGTAGATACACAGGAAGTCTCTTCACACCACTTCTGGCCAATATGAAACGGACAAGACTCTACTTTCTTTGGCAAAGTAAACCACTATAAGCAATCTTATTACAATGATTAACATGCTAAAAATCAAACAAGGAAGATGCCGAGATACTTTGTGTCCAGACTTGTATTTTCATCTATGTAGGGACCTCTAGGGTAGAAATTCTTTACATATGAAAATCAACAACTTGTGGTAATATATAGTCCTAAGGAGTGGTCCAGGGCATTGAGAGGTTAAGTGACTTATCTAACACACATTTAAAGGCAGGCAGGACTTGAACCTAGGTCTTCCTGAGTCCAAGATTGATCCTCCACTATATCGAACTGAATCCACCAATTTCTTTTTCGTGTGTTTTTCTGACAATACTTGCTAGCTATTAACTATATTGGCAGTGGGTAACAACTTAGGCTTGAGTTTTATTTATTTATTTTTTAAAAATCATTGACATATTTAGCTCTTATATTGCATGTGCTTCTCAACAGATTTCTCCTTAATATATTTCTCAATAGATCTTCTCCTCCTCCCCCTACCAGAGAGCCATGTTTTATGACAAATAAAAAGAGCAAAAGAAGTTTTTAGCAAAACTAACCAATATACCAATATCAAATAATTTGATATTATATATAGTGTTCCACACCCAAAGTTTTATCTTAAAATAGAAAAATGAGCCTACAGATGTGGACTGAGTTCCCCTGTACCTTCTCTGATCTACATTTGTGTCCAAACCCTGTACTGAAAGGTTCTTTTATCTTTATGATGAATACATAGAACTGTAATTTGCAGGTCAGTACCAGCCCCAAATCCTACTTCAGGAAAAAGTCAATAGAATCCCAGCTCTATTGCATTGACAGTATCTTGAAGCTAGGAATAAGAAGTTCGTTCGAAAAGGGTCAGAGAAAAGAGAACTCCTCAGACATTTCCCAGGGATTTCAGTGATTACAAACCTGGGAGAAATTTCAATTTTCTCATCATGCTTTTCTGGCCCTTTCCCTGAGATCATCCACTCCCCCCTTTCCTGGCTCTCCCTCCCTAGCCTACACTATCAGAGAATGTTTTGGCTGTTTCCTTTTTTCTTGCTGAGGGCCGTGTTAACATATCAAGTCATAACAATAGAGATCCTGCCATGACTAGAGGCTTCTGAAGCCCTAGTGTGGCCCCCACCCCCAGCCCCAGCTGTGCTCAGACACCCGAGCGGAGGAACTACAGTGGCCCTTTCCCTGCCTTGGCCTTCCTGCTCACCCTGGTGATTTGGATGTTGTTCAGCCGCTGCTGCCAATGCAGAATGGTCTCCATTCGGTACACCCACATGTTAATGTTCCCGACCAGAACAGACTTGCCTACCCTTTGGACCAGGGTACACAAGGATGTGTAGAGGGTCTGCAGCAACTCTCTTATCAATCTGATATTTTGTTGGTCTTCAAGGACTTGGGAGGAAAAAAAAATAAACAATTATTGATTTAATGTTTTCTCCCTCTTCTTCCTCTTTTCTATATTTTGTATGACCCTTGAGGTTTTTTTTTCCAGGAAGCTCTGCTTTCAATCAGTCACTTAATAACCAAAAAGGATTTCTTAAGTGCATTATGCGCCAGATACTTTCTTAAGTGCTGGGGATATAAAAAAAAAAAAAAAGGGAAACAGTTCCTGCCCTCAAGGAGTTTATGTTAAAGGCTGGAGAGGCCATTTACAAACTAAGGTTGTGATATATGCTGGCAATGAGAACAGATTGGACCATGGAGTTCAAAGGGGAAGGAAATGGTTCCTTATTAAGGAATGGAGCATGATAAAGGCATTAGAAAATTCAATGAATTAGGTCCTGATAAGTTCCATATAATAGCAATGCTTTGAGCTCTTCAGTGTGGTATTATTTTTTATCATCCACCTTTAAGAAATGACATGATCTTAATGCTTCATTGGTACCCTCCTTATGCCTTAAAAAATAGACACATGCATGCATACATACATACAGGTGTATATACAGATAACACATGCATAAATGTACATATGTACATGTATATACATATACATACATATATATGTATATATATATGTATGTATGTATATATGTATTAAAATAGGTTTACCTTTCAGCACAACTTTTTCCAAAATGTTCATGAAGTTCTTTTGGGCAATGCCACTCAGGGAAGTGAGCTGTGATTTTGCTATCAGTTCCAACAGCTGTGGATAAAAATAGAAGTTGCCAGGCTTAGAATACAGAAGTTTTTCCCCCCCTCTAATCTGTGCTTTGAGTCATGTGACACAGTACAGACCCACAATGACGGCTAAACAGATAAATGGCAGGCCAGGCCAGCCACAGTGAGAAGCAGATGCTCAAAATAAGAGATAAATGGGAGTAATTAAAAATCCATAGCACAGGAAGCAGGCTGAAGAATCGGATGCTTTTCTTTGAAAATATAAAGAATTTTGGCTTAAGTTGGGACCACCCCATCCCATTTGTCCTTCTTTTGTTGCTTCCCATGAAGTTCATGTCTTTTGAAAAGAAACAAGTTTGCTGGGATCTGCCGTTAATGCTTTACTTCTGCATAATCACCTCCCAAGTAGCTAAAGAAACAGATTTGAATTTTGCCTTTTTCTCTTTGTCCCAGCCCTAATGTTATAAAAAAAACTAGCAATGAACATTCAAAGGTTCAAAGTATGAACAGAGGAAGATGATGGGAGAGAATCAAGCTTTCTCGGTAACTAGCCCCAAGTAACCAAGTGGATTATACTTTCATTATGTAATTTAAACCTTTATGGAGTCTTTTTGAAGTAAACCAAAGTAGGTACACTCTTCCAAAGGAGTCTGAATATAATTACGTTTGTGATTAGAAGAATAAAAGGTACCAATGAAAATTTTCCTTTCCCCAAGTCCAAGATAGCTAATGTTGTAATGTTGTTACTGGGAATGGAGGAGGGAGGGCTATGAAAGAAATTTTTACATAATTTTGAGAACTAGAATGGACTTTAGATTATTTAGTTCAATCTCTATAATTTTTTTTTACAGATAAAGGAAAGAAGGGCTTAAAGAATTTAAACAATTTGCTCAAGGTCATGCAACAAATTATTGGCAAAAGTAGCACTCATACCAGGTTTCCTCTCATCTCTTTGTTTGCTGCTCTTTTAACCAGACCATGCTGCCTCCCTAATATCTGATTCACCTAAAGCAAGAGCTCATAAGTTTTTTGGTGTCCTGGACCTCCTTTTGCAATTTTGTGAAGCTTGTGGACCCCTTCTCAGAATAATGTGTTTAAACGCATAAAGCAAAATATACAGGATTACAAAGAAAACAATTAGATTGAAATTGAGTTATAAAAACATGTATGTCAAAAAAAAAAGTTCATGGGCTTGAGGTTAAGAACCTTTGATCTAGTCTAGATTACCACTCAAGTTATGGATTTTGCATGCAACAAAGAATGGCCAGCATGTATAAACATTGGGTTTGCACTTGATCGTGTGCTGTGAGCTCACAGCAAAGAAACTTATTTCTGTTACTTGCCTATTTTGCTCAGCACTCTTCCCCAGGCATGTGACTGTCAACTGGGGAGCTGGAGTAGTTAAAAGTGACTGATCTTCCACTTATTGGCTGGGCCAACACCCTGGACCAGAAGGCTGATGTTCTATTAATATCCTGCACCTCATATGACCCTCAAAAAGTAAGATGAAAGAAAACAAAAACCTAGATCATTGCTCAGAAGGGCAGGCTGCCTTGTACCGTGACTCATCATTAAGGGGAAAAAAACCCTAACACCAAGAAGGATTCCGACTGAGAAGCCCATCCCAAATCCAAGGTCCATTAGCCACTTAACAGTAATAGGCTATTTTAAACCTTGTCTAAAAATGCTCCAAGTCACAAGGTGTAGGTGGGTAGAGTGTGTGGTGTGAGGACTGTGCAGTCGAGGAAGGGGTTACGCCCTCAGGCCTTTGGTCTGAGAGGTTGTTTTGAAAGGAGGAAGAACAGAATGAAAAAGTATTTGGTGGCCAAAGCTACTGACTGACAAATCAAAATATAACAAGCATACTTCTGAGGCAGGACCTTAGGATCTAGGGCCAGAAGGGGCTTTAGAAATCAGCTGTCCAACCTCCTTATTTTATAGATGACTACACTGAGGCCCAGATAGCTTAAGTGATTTACCCAGGATCACACAGGTAGTGTGATAGTTCATTCACTCAGTCATTCACTCAGTCAGTCAGTCAGTCACTCATTCAACATATATTAAGCAGCTACTCTCTACAAGTTGAAAAACCTGGGTCTTCTGACTCTATATTCAGTATTCTTTTCAGTCTATCAAGTTTCTTTACTCCATGTTTTATGTGTCTTTGTATATCCTTTTATCTCTTACCCAATATGATATACTGAATGTAGTAGTTGCTTAATAAATATTTTTTGAATAACTCAGTAATGGGTAGAAATTACAGGAGGAATATTTTTGTTCAACATAAGTCATGATCTAAATTATCAAAGCTTCCCATAATGGAATGGGTCACTGGAGGTGTTCAGAGACTAGATGACTTGTCAGGAATAGAGAAGAGGGGATCCATGCACAACTAGATGACCTTTAAGGTTCCTTTAAACTCTAGGGTTTTAGGATTCACCATCTCTGTATTTTAATCCTAATCATTCCTATGCAAAGTAATTTTCCTTTCTGTACTTCAGCTGCTTCCCAACCTACAAAATATGAATATTAACACAGAGACTAAAATATGTGTAAATTTAAGCTCACAGACACAGAATACTAATAAACTTGGATGATTTAAAGTGCAAATCACCTGATTTGTCCCAGTAATACTAGAGTTACCAGTTAGCTTCCTGTCTTATTTTGAACACTGCTGTAATAGCCCCCTGTAACGTTTCTCCTGTTTGTGCAACCAATTAATGCCCTCAGGTGGCCTCTCTTGCCTGTAGGTGGCGCTATTTACAGATCACCTTGCTGACAATGATCATGATACCATTAGGTCTTAATGGCCTGAAAGAATTTTTCCCTTCAATAAAGTGTACATACCTAGGAGTGTTTGTTGACATCTTTAAATTAGATGTCTAAGCTCTAGCACAATTTAGTGATCACTTCTGTCATTTGCTTTGACTTTACGTCCTAGTATATATAGCCTATGCAGCCTTTTTCTGATCAGGCTTGAACAGTTTTTTTCTGGTTTTGAATAGGGCCATTGAGAAAACCTCCCCTAAAGTCCTACCCCAGTGTCTCTTCATCATGGCATGGAGGTGACCCTGGGTTCTCAAAGGCAATGCCAGGGGAGCTCTAGTTCTGGCGAGTCCTACCAGGCTGTAAGGCTGGTGATGAGCTATGTTACTGTCACCTGAGAAGCCCTGGATAGCAGAGTTCAGGATAGACTCATTACCTGAAGGTTGGTTCTTGGGTGATCTTTTTTTTTTTTTTGCATTGGGAGTTGAGGGGGAGAGTAGTGGTGCACAGCAACTTGGGAAGAATCTTAATTAAGCTGTGGATGGCTTATGATGTTAATTCCTAGAGGTACTGCCCATGCTGGTAAAATCATGAAGTTTCTAAGGAATGAAGTGAGTGGAAGATAACTAACAGGAATATAAATTGGGTCCAGTATAGCTGTTGTTTTCCTACCCATCACTGTCAAGCATATTACAGATTTATAGGCTTCTGTAGAACCAGAAGCTACCTGGTACAGTAGAAAGGAGAGAGTGTTAACCTGAAGTCAAGAAGACTGGATTTTAAATCCTGTCTCAGACACTTTCTAGCTATGTAACCCAATCAAGTCATTTAACTTCTCCCTACTTCACTTTCCCTCATCTGTAAAACGGAGATAACAATATCATCTTCCTCACAGAGCTGTTATAAGGACCAAATGAGATAATAAATGTAAAGTACTTTGCAAACTGCCACATAAATGTAGTTATTACTATTAGAAAAAGAACTGGGTTTGTATCCTGGCTGTCTTCTGCTTATGATCTATGTGACCTTTGTTAAGTTACTAAACCTCTCTGTGCCCTAGTTTCCTCATCAGTAAAACAGGGTGTGGGGGAAACTGCATTTGAAGTATTGGAAATAGCAGGTCATCTCTAAGGGTCTTTTCCAGTGATAAATCCTGTGACCTAGGATCCGCTAGTGTTGACTTGGCTTGATACTTGAGCTGGTTCTAACCCTTTCTTCATTTTACAGATGTGGAAACTGTCTGCCGTGTATCCCGCCATGACACATCCTAAAGATATGACAACCCACAGTCCCCTCAACATGGAATTTGATAGGATGAAATACAGGTCATGTCTTTTCCCTTTCATTATCCAGGATCGATTTACATTCTGAAAATAAGAGGCTACTTATGTATCGACGCTTTTAGGAAAAACAAAGTCTGAAAGCTTATGTTAACAGCATGCTGTGAATAGCAGCCATTGGGGTTATCAGTTTCCACGGCATAACAGGGCAACAGTTGCAGGCACTTGGTCTGACCACTGCACTGGTGTTAGGTGCCTGGGCGCACATGAGCTTTCCTTTAAATGTTTGTTGAATGAATGAAGGAAAGTAGGAAGGAAGGAAAGGATGAAATGGGAACTGTGGATACCATTTTAAAAACGGTGAATGAGAGAGAAAATAAGCCAAGGTTTCTGATTGCTTTGGATAGCATACTTCAATTCTTCAAAAGCACTATAATTTGGGGCAGCTAGGTGGCACAGTGGATAGAGCACCGGCCCTGAAGTCGGAGCACCTGAGTTCAAATTTGGCCTCAGACTAAACACTAGACACTTACTAGCTGTGTGACCCTGAGCAAGTCACTTAACCCCAATTGCCTAAAAAACAAAACAAAACAAAAGCACTACAATTTCATCAGTGTTGGTACTTGGCCAACATAGGCAATAGGGTATATGGAGTGAACAGAGTCCTACATTTGGAGTCAGGTATACCTGAGTTCCAATCCTGCCTCTCCTTATAAAATGTATGTCCGTGGGCAAGTCAATTGACCTCTCTGAGCCTCAGTTTCCTCTTCTGTAAAAGGCTATTACTAATGCCTGTTGTAAGTCTCAAATGAGATCACTAATGTAAACTTCTTTGAAAACTTTAGAATGGGGATGGCTAGGTGGCGCAGTGAAGAGAGCACAGCCCAGGAGTCAGGAGGACTTAAGTTCAAATCTGGCCTCAGATACATAACACTCACTAGCTGTGTGACTCTGGGCAAGTCACTTAACTCCAACTGCC